CTCCGCTATTGGACATTGTTTTAGGCTGGTTCATGTAAACGCTGATATGTATTATGCTAAATAAATAACTGATACCTTTTCGGATTACGTAAAACTATAGAGTTCTAAGTTAAAGTTAAATGTTCATGCGAGTTCAGCTGGACCTCTTCCTAATTAGCTACCCTTTACTAAATTCCTCTCACTTAGTATCATTCAAAGACCAGTTCAGAGTTATTCTCATCTCCTGCAGCCAATTATTCTTCTAATTAAACAACCAATCTCTGCCTCTACAGAAGTCAAAATCAGTCCTAGCCTGGTGCTCTCTACATCTAAGGTAGATCTTGTAATTTCTGACCCTTATACCATTCCCAAAAGGCTGACCATGTGTTTCACTATCCCCATCCTGACTATTTGGTGGCAGTAGGGGTCAAACTATACACTATCTTCTGCCTTCATGGCTTGAAAATTGCAATGAAAATAAAAGAAACTTCACAACCTTTTAATTCAAATATGCTTCTTGTACACCATCTAAATATTCTAATTCTGATCTTTTGTACCAGAAATCAATATTTTTTTCTGATAAGATCACTGAACAGAATAATCTGGTAAACTAATTCTTGAAATAGTCCCATGTGGACATAAGAAAAATTAAGGTAATGGTTAAAGAGAACCCATAAAACACTAGTCATCATAAAAGCAATTTACAGAAGGCCAAGACCGATATATCAAAGATATATCCAAAGTGACTCAAGTAAGTATTGTGGCTGTGTACTTTTGGCACTCCTGCAAAAAAAAAAAAAAAAAAAAAAAAATCATTATGCAAAGGACTGTTTTTTATTTCACAAAATGTTAGGAAGGTGTAATTCTTTACAGTTTAGATGCACTTGCTAGAGACTAAATCCCCAACTCCACATCAGAAATATTATTCATCAATCTAAGTTGCCATGACTGGGCACGTACTTTGGGCACTGCCCAAGGGGAAGGTTGATGGGGGGCTCTGCCCCCCTAACAGCCCCAAAGGAATATTTCAAGGCAAGATAGAGCTGAAACTCGGGATCGGCACTTTCCACAATCGTTTTCTTTATTTGTGGCATTACCATTCCTGTTTGCAGATTATTTCTTGTGCCGACAACTGCAACAAGAATATCATATTTAATCTGCCCTACCTCAGTGCATCCATTCCGTAAAGATTTATCTTCCTTACAAATACTTGATGAGATTATTTAGCATTTCCTGCACTGTTGCAGACACTGAGGTCAAGACAGTTATGAGGTTTAATCTCTTTGAGATATCATCCTGAATTTGTGGATTATCACATTATCTTTTATCATCATTACTCTTTTTTTCATTTGTTAAGAATGCCTGACAGTTTTGACATGCATGAGTAGGGCTAATTGAATACTATAAACCAGAAAACACCAGCAAAATGAATATATATAAAACTATAAGAAGCTCTAATACAATTTCATGAAAAATAGACCATCAACTCGGATTCCACGACCAGGTACAAACAACTCAAAAACTGGTTATGTTACCATGCAGAAGTCGTCCCTCTGAACATATCACAAATGAACCTTAAAATCTCGCTTATCCAAAGTCGTCATGGGATGAAATTTCCTCTACATGACTATGAAGACAGTAAATACCTTGCTAAATGCATCTGAACCCTCTCCAACTCTCCTATTATGGAGGGATAGGTGGTTTCTTAGGACTTGCAATCTGTTCAACCTTAGCTCCGCCATGGCCATGTTTACGACTGGAATTGTTAGCTCTTTCCGCTAAAAAATAGCGGAATACATGAGCGGAAATTGATAGAAATAGCAAAATACGCTAGACATGATATTTACAGATTTCGTAAAGTTTTATTAATCTCCCCCTTCTATCTTTTTGCTTATCACTCTCTCTCGTTTACGAATTTGTTAAAAATGTCACAAGAGAGAGAGAGAGAGAGAGAGAGAGAGAGAGAGAGAGAGAGAGAGAGAGAGAGAGAGAGAGAGAGAGAGAGAGAGAGAGAGAGAGAGAGAGAGAGAGAGAGAGAGAGAGAGAGAGAGAGAGAGAGAGAGAGAGAGAGAGAGAGAGAGAGAGAGAGAGAGAGAGAGAGAGAGAGAGATTTGGATGCCAATTGTGACTACTGTACACACATGGTAAATGTTCAATAATGGGGCATTATGATGCTTTTTCGAGAATTATTGGTACTACTGAGATATCTTATATTTTGTAGAATAATATTATGATACGTGAGCGTAAATACACACACACACTAATACATACAGACAGACATATATACCTATATCTATATCTATGTCTATCTATTAGTCTATTTATATGTTTATCGATGTCTATCCATCTGTCTATCTATACGTATACGTATAAACATATGTGTGTATATATACAGACACACACACGCACCCACACACACATACACACATACACACACACACACACACACACACACACACACACACACACACACACACACACACACACACACACACACACACACACACACATATATATATATATATATATATATATATATATATATATACATACATACATATACACATATGTATACACATACACACAAACATATGGTAGACGAGTCTTTCACCACCGCCACTTTCACCACAATATCTTCACCATTTATGGCGAAATCTCCGTATCTCCGCCTTCCCGCCACAAACATGTTACGTAAGTCTTTGTCGCTCTGAGACTCACTAGATTCCGCCAGGTAACGAACGGTATACAAGGAATTATTTCTATTCTTCTGAAATGCTGAGACTTCTTACGTTATCTGCTCCATTTTTCTAGACTATTCGGCAGATGGAAGAAATATATTCGAAGTCAAGAGTATTGTATTTACTAGGTATTGTATAGTATATGATATTGTATGTTATATAATCTTGGGTTCCATGATGAATGGAAAAACACACGATCGTGTTGATACTATGGTAGAAAAACCCACAATGCAAAAATCTAGTATTGTGCATTGAGGGTTTTCCTACCATCAAATAATCTTTTATAATCATTTTAAAAAATCCACAAAAAAGAAACAAGACATAATCAAATTTAACGTTGAACTAGAGCTCATAAGTCTGCATAAAAAAATCTTGACCTGTTCGCCTGCCTCTGAAAAACAACAAGTCCTCGTATCAGCGGATATTGCGTTCCCCTTTTCCTCGACTCGCGCCCGCCAATGGAACGTGTCCCTTGGTGCAATATCTGCAGAAAGACCGATCAATTGCAGCCCAGTGGGTTGAGATGAACATTGAGGTCTGAGAAGGATTTTGGTGAAGTCTGCTTATTGGTTGTGACCTTTTTCTTATGTAGAGCTTAGGTGCCATTTACATCCTTTAAGAGACGCTTTAAAAAAATCTTTATGGATACTTACATAAATCATAAATATCACTCCGTTTGGCTATATGTCTATCTTTAACTGGAAATGCAATGGACGTGACCATTAAAATTTCATCCGAAATAGCCGAAAATCCGACTTATAGTGTCCGACCAATTAAGATAGCATTCATAAGGAGCTACAAGTTTCTAGGATTTTTTTTTATAGCCAGATCTACAAAGTTTCAAAGGAAAAAAAGTAAATTTACGAAATAAAAAGGGATATACCAGTTACAGTGATTTTTAATGGGCAACTTGATAGACGTTTGATAGAAGCATCCCAAAAATTTCAAAACAAACCTAGAAATTAGTCTTGTACGATAGTGAACAAGGCAACGAGTAATGAAGTGAAAAGAATTGTTCATTATGTACAATTCCGTTTCGAACATCTGCTCAAAACCACACTTTTTATATAAGGCAAGATATATTCGAAGCTTCAGTTCATAACATGATTTTTGTCCGTCACCGTGCATCTAAATCAGTGTTGTCCTGTTTGGAGTCTTTTCATAATTAGTATATTATTTGCATTTTCCTAATTAAAACAGTTTGTTTAGCCATGGTGGACGCCGGGGGAGGGGGGCGTGACAGTACAAGACGGTAATGAAGGGTACAATAGGCGAAAATGTTTGAACAACACTGATCTAAATCAATCGAGACCTGATACTCTTTTAAAAGCCAATGACAGCAGATTATGGCTTCATCTTGGAACATTTATTATTCAACAGAGATGTAATCTAGCATGACTAAAGAAGAGAGAATATCAAACGCTGATGAACACAGTGAAATATCTATCGTGGGATCAACTCCACGGGAAAACACCCTAATTTAATTCCCTTTTCTAGAATTATCACCTAAGTATTGTTGGTAATTCTCAAGGATTATTAAGAATTATGCTCATCATTATCAATTGGGAAATTTATGATTTTTGGTGTGGATATGCTATACATAGAGGCACTCATACATATATGCTTGAAGTAATGAAATATGCTGGATTAAAAAAAAAAAAAATGTAACCAGTGACACCAAGATTTTTCATTTATATTGATATAGGTTTGAGTCTTTTAAATTGTATATAGACAGTAATAAAAAAAATCAAAGTAGGCCAGTTAGTAAGAAAATCTGTGTCGGGGATCTAGAATATGCTAGAAAAAAAATTGTGAGGATCAGTCAACTTGTGTCCGCTAGCTTTATTGAATCCCCGCCATAAAGTTATAATGTTGTTAATAGTGATTACCTTTTGGAAACCAGTCAGATGGATTGATTTTCGGTCTTCACAGCCTTCTTCTCTTTTTATCTCTTCCTAAAACTTAGAGAATATTGATCGTAAAACCAGCAAAACCCAGCCATCTGAGAGCGCTCATGAACACAGCGCTAGCCTCCTCCTTCACCTCTCGTGCTGTCATCGTCCCACCTGCAGTACATACATAGATACATGTGCGTGTGTGTGTGTGTGTGTTTGTGTGTTTGTGTGTTGT